CGATATAATTGCCAGCAGCTTGACGAATGATGGCAGGATTATTCGGATCCTGTAATTGTTTCCAGAGATGTTCCAAAAACGCTTCTGCAAATCCCTACAAGAAGAGGTGGTGCTCATTATGGTAGAAACAGAAAGATAACTAGTAAAACGTGCACAAGTATCCAAGGAGCTGGGGAAGGGGAGGAGCAGAAGGGGAGGGTGGGGGGTGTGGAATCACAGGGCCACACAATCTGATGGATGGAGGGAGGAGTGGGAAAAGGAAATGGGAAAGATCCAGAAGGGATCTGGTAAGACAGGGCAATGGTGGGCACGTGAATTTTATAAAATACAATGAATCGGAATGATTGGATGAGACAAAATGTGAATGAAAGACAGCATGAAACAATGTTTACAAACTTTGTAAGTAACCAATAGAAAATTAAAAAAAAGAAAAAAAAGAGGTGGTGGCGATGCATTCTGGTTAGTAGAATCGTAAAATTTTAGCTCATCACAGAGCGAAAACTCCGACTGTCTATGTTAATATACTGCTAATATAGTGCTACTCATGAAGAAACCCCAGAGTGATTAAGCTTCTTTTTTTAAAAAAAAAGAAGTTTAAAAAGGGTTAAAATTCTGGATTTATAAGCTGGTTTGTGTTATTTAGGATCCAACCTCTATAGACAATGAAAATAAACAGGTAAATACTCCATGTCTGAGACTTAATAGAGAAAGGCTAGAACTGAAAGGAAAGGCATCCCCTAGTGGACACACGGGGAAATTTCCAAACCTGTGGCTAGGTGGACAGGCAGCAATGCTTCCCACAGCGTTTAGAAGGGAATGCGGGTTAATCAGGGGGACAGAAAAAAGGAAGTTTTCAAGAAAAAAAAACCAAAACAAAACCCACACAGAAACACTTATCTAAAAAATTCACACCCTGTCTCCTGCCATTTATTAAGGGAAAAAAGTGTTCGTGGACAAGGAGGAAATAACACTAGGAGGATGTTAATGACATTCTTACTCACCAGTTTGAAGCTGCAGAGATAAAACATAAAAAACTGGACATGGCAGGAGGCATGGGTGGATAACAAGAGCTTGTCAAAGATGGTGATCAGATCT